AGAAGTGAGCAGAGAAACAGGGGGATCTCATCTCACAAAGAAAGCAGTGCCAGGAGCAGAGCACATCCTTCGGACCCGGGATCCCTGTGCAGAGAAGCTCCTAGTCCGGGGGAACATTGATGAGAAGGCCAACAGAGAGAGAAAGCCTTCCCCTGGAGCTGATGCCCTGAATTTGGACTTTTAACCTACTTTACTGTGAAGAAACAAATTTCTCTTTGTTAAAGCCATCCACTTGTGGTATTTCTGTTACAGCAGCACTAGATGACTAAGACAGGCTCCCTTAACTTCCTTTCCCCAGTCTTTGCTAATATTCAAAAGGAAACCCACCAGTAACTGCCTCTGCTTTCAGAGTGGAAAAAGCATTATCAAAATACATCAAATACTATGAAGTGGTAAATGAGAGAAATCTTAAAATCCAAAGTTGAGCGTGACCATTTTTCAATGTTTAAATATTTGTGTATCAAGGATATATTCTGAGTTTTACAAAATACGCATTTTAGAGTAAAATAATGCTTAAAGAGGTTAAGTGACTTGTTCAAGGTTTCAAAGCAAGTTAGCGGCAAAGCGCAGATCTTTGAACTAGACACCCAATATTTCCACCATGGATCGCTATCTCCCTAACCAACCTGCCTTTCTAGATTCTCTGCGGTTATTTCTTGGTTAGACATGTACACTTTGTACATACCAAAGTCAGAACTTACTGCAACAGAACTGTGGCCAGAACCGGACTTGCCCCACTAGGTTCATCTTCCTAAGGTAAGAAATCAATCCTATCCAAAGGCATTCCATTTCCACTGGCCCTGAACAGGAGATACTCATGTCTCAGTTAGCACAGAAAATCCAGAGTTCAATCACCAACTCCCTACATACCAGGAAGGCCACAGTTTGGAGGAGACTATGAAAAGATGGCATTTCAGTTGTGTTGTATTGTATTGTACTGTATTGTATCGTATCGTATTTTATTGTATTGGTGGGACATGCAACTGTAGCCTCCTCACCTTCACAATCAAGGGCCATGGATGATCTGGCCATTTGTCTCTGAACATCTGCTTTTGAAAGAGGAAGGCAAACGATTTAAAAGGTAAAATTAGGAAGAAAAAGGCAACATGGCACTTTGTTTTAGCTGTCGTTGAGTCGGCCCCTGACTCCTGGTGAGCCATGCATAATGGAATGAAATGCTGCCCAGCCCTACACCACCTCCACGACTGGTTGCAAATTGGACTGTTGTGATCCATAGGGTTTTCACTGGCTAAACACTTACTCATTTTTCAGAAGTAGATTGCCAGGTCTTTCTTCCTAGGCCATCTTAGTCTGGAAGCAAATCTAGTCTCCTTTTTTCCCCAGCAGGTCAATATCCAGACATCACATTCCTCCTTTTCTACTTGAGACTCGGTTACCTTCTATGGCTATCAGAGTGTATATGTGTGTTTTAATACTTCCAGATTTGGTAATCAGGATATGTGACCCCCTTATCTCACACACACCCTTATGAGGGACATAGGAAGCACCCTGCCATGCCCTCAAAATGGAACACATGTGAAGACTCCTCCTTCAAGTGAGAATAAACTTTCCCCATGTATTTCTATCAATTTCCTATCACTATATTCCTATGTTACGATTTCTAGAACAGTTACACAGACCTGCTGGGCCAGACTCTGCCAGGTTATTTATATCAAGTATTTTTTAAGGCAAGATACAGGCAGGACAAATTCAAGTGTATAAAGAAAACAGATCTATACGGAAAAGAGTAGCTCACTTTGTCTTTTTCAGGCGTACTGGGTTGATGGTGAAAAAGCAAAGGAAATGGAGTAAAACTTGGCCATGTCTATTTAAGACTGGGAATAAAATGTTCCCTTGCTGGGCTTTTAAGAGTTCTCTAGCTCTCTGCAACTTCAGCACCATGGACTGATGCAGTGCCCCCAAGCTCTTCCATAACTGGCTTTTATTGCTTTAATTAAACAAGACTAGGTGGGACAGATTTATTCCAACTCTGTAATGTTATTGTTGCCCGCTACTGGCTAGCAGCAGCTCGTCACCTCTTGCACTTGATGCCTGGCCTGCACAATTAGCACCTTATTATAGGCTGACCTCTCTTCTAATTACCATGCATCTCTCAATTGAGCACTTTATTTTACTGTCTTGTTCATGCACTAGTTCAAGTGCCTGGGTTCCCCAACTATAATCGATCCTAAACTCCTTTTGAGCTGGTGCTATGTTTTGGGTTTCTTTTTCATTTCTTCAGGACCATGAGAACACTGTGGACCTCTCAGGTGTGCAAACACCACTTCCTGATTGTATGAACTTTCTAGATGTTTATCCTGGGTATACAGCACATGGCTGGAAGCTGGGAAGCCATGCCTATTTCAACCCTCTGTATCAGATCCACTGGCCTCCTTTGCTGGTGAGGGCTCTCATCAGCTTCTTGGAGTTAAGCTCTACTAGGTCTGTATCTAACCTTTTTCCTAATAAAAGGTTGGGCTGAAACAGAGAAACTTCCCACCACATTCCATGTTCCTCTAGAAAAAAAGATTCAAGGGATGTGAGTTTATGCTTGAAACAGACTTCTCACTTTTGGAGTTAAAACTAACCATAGTCCCTGGTGGTGAAAACAGTTAATTCTTGGCAGTTCGAACCCACCAAGAGGTGTCTCGGAAGATAGGTTTGGTGATCTGCTTCCGAAAGGTCACAGCCTTGAAAACCTTATGGAGCAGTTCTACCCTGCAGACCTGGGGTCACCAGGAATCGTAACTGACTTGACAACTAACAACAATCATAGTTTGCAGGGCAGTTGTCAACTCCATAACAAACATAGGCCACCATCACCAAAGACTCTGGTGACAGAAACAGAGCCTGGTGGGGAGACAGTATAGTTAGAAGTGCAGGCACAGGAGCTAAATCCCTGGGCTTAAATCCTGGCTCTGCTACTTACTAGTCTAGCTATGTGACCTGTGACCATGGTCAAGACACTTAATCTGACAGTGATGGGAAAACAAGCTGATTTAATAGAATTATTTGCCATCCTTGACTTCTTAAATTTTTGACTAAAAAAGGACTCTATATTTATGGGTTTTACAAATGTCTAATCATTATCACAACAAATGTGATAAAAACGGTCTGGAAACATTTAAGCAGAACAATTAGCGAAGGTGCATTGTTTTAGTTGAGATTTACTGTTTATACGTCTTATACCTACTTAGCCTAACCTATCAGACAGCACTCATAGCAGTATTTATGTTATGTAACACAACAGTATTTGCAATTACTGTTGACCCTTTTCCAGCAAGAAATCCTTTGTCAGTTGTCACGACAGTTCAAATATATGTTGCATATTTTAAAAGACATATTGAAAGAATTTTTTCTATAAAGATGACTCCATGGTAACCAGATTTTAGACTTTTCTTGCTCTGTGTTTTTTATCATCTGTCAGTCTGCTGGCATCTTTTAAATCCTCAATCTCCTGAGATATTCTAGCAACTAAAATCCCACTTCCAGGGGCTCTCTTTTCTGAGCAATTGCTAGTACAAAATATGGTTTCTAACATCAGCAGTCCCTGATGTTAGTTATCTCAACAGACAGAGTTCCTCACATAGAATTCAGCTGCCCAAATACACACAAAGGTAACTTTGTGCCACAACAGGTGGAGCACCTGTGCCTTCATTGGGGAGGGAACTCTTCCCGCTTCACCTCTCCTAGTTTCCCTGGAGGGCAAAGTCCAACACTGGAAGACATCTTCCCTGTAGGTACACCTTCATAGAAAACCATGTAGACTTTAGCAACAACTAATATCCAGTCTAAGAAGAAATGATCATCTCTTTGGGGGCGCAGCAGGTAAGTGCTTAAGAATGTGGGCAGACACTTCCTCTCGGTAGCCTTCTCTGACTCCCCTCCTGATTCTCAGTCCTACTGCACACACTGGTGCTACTATCATAGCTCTAACTACAATGTTCTGTGGTTTTGTCGACCCTCCAGTCTCCCTCTCTGCACAGGGAGCTTCTCTGGACACGAGTCGTGTTTTACTTGTCTTAGTGTCCCAAAGCTAGCACAAAGCCCATCTGTAGTAGGCTCCCAATAGTTATCTGTGAAACTGTACGGAAGCCAATATCTGAGAAAATCAACCATTCTTTGGATAATCAAGCTGTTAAGGGTTACTTTCACTTCTGACAACAGGGAAGGAGTGTCCTTAAAAATGGGACATCAGGAAGTCACAAGACCCACTCCTTGTTTCAACCACTTTGGATCAACCTTCCTCCATTTATCCGCATGGCCCCTTGAAAACCTGTACCGTACCCGGTCTGCCCCGCCTGAATGGGCTCCTGTAGTGACCCCAGCTTCACCTTGCAGGTATCCGGTCAGGATATCCAAGGCCCATACTCCGACTCGGCCACCGCGCGGGGCTGGCTTTTTTTACTAGAAGCTGCCACAGCTCCCACGATCACCCCCATCAAGCCGGGCCTTCAAGTCCCCTATGGGAAGCGGTGGGGGCACCCGGGCACTGCGCCCTCGCCAGCGCCGGTTGCCAAGCTCCTCCTCTTTACTTTTTCCGGGACAATGCTCCGGCGACCATCCGGGGAAGTGGACCCTGCAAGGTCCTGGGCCAGCGTTCGATCCGTCCTCAGAGGGACGGGGGAACCTGAGGGACGGGGGGGAGGTGAGGATGCCTCGGAACTAGTGACCCCAGTCCCAGCCCGGACTCTTTCCACCGAAACCGAGCCGAGGAGGGCTTCATCGCTTCTCTTCAACCATCCTAGGAACCAGGGAAAGTGAGGGGCGGGGAGAGTGGGGAGACAGCTCCCCAGGCCAATCACGACGTCCAGCTCCTCTCACTTAGGGTCTGTCTCTACCCTCTCTCTCTCTTACACACACACGACCTGCTACTTCAATGCCAGCTGTGAGCAAACTGCGCCGCGCGCCTCTCCTACTACGAGTCCCCCGGCCCTGGCCCGCGCCCCTAGCCTCACCCAGCTTCTTCAGCCCAACCCCAGTTCCCCCTTCCAACTGACCGTGAAGCCGGTGGCAGTTCCCTAGTCCCAGGCCTCCGGGGGGTCTCTCGCCGCCGCTGCCGTCGCCTCCCGTTGCAGTCCCCGACCCGGGTCCCGGCCTTGGGCTGCGGCGATGGCTCTCCGGCTCGAGGCGCCGCGGCTCCCTGGACTCGGCCAGACACCCGGCGGCGCGCAGGAGAAGCCCATCGAGCTCCCGGCGGCAGCGGCGGCAGCGGCAGCGGCAGCGGCTGCTGCAGGAGCGGCCGCCGCGCTGGCTGATGACGCTCGGGCGCGGGGGGCGCGGTCGCGCGGGGGAAGGGGGCGCGGGCAGATGACGTGAGGCGCGCGGGGCAACTCGGCAGCATGGCGTCCGTGGCGCTGAGCGAGGCGGAGAAGGTGTACATCGTGCACGGCGTCCAGGTAGTTGCTGCAGCAGGTCGGCCGCGGGATTACCCTGACCCTGCGAGCTGCGGCCAGCCCTCGGTTCCCCGGCTGGGGAGCCCCAGGTTGCCGCGAATTTGGATTTACCTTGTTATTAAATGGCTCTGTGGCCGGCGTCTGCATCCCGAAGCCGGCAACGCGGGCGTTTTTAGGACTGGGCGGCGAGCATCCATTTAGGACTGCCTTCGTACTTGCAGCTTTTCGGGTCTACAAGGTTCTGAACCTGAGTAGGAAGGGGTGGGCGCTCCCAGAGGCCTTTCTTGAGGTCTCTCCTCTCCTAGGGGCAATGACCGCCCCCAGGGCCGTCTCTTCACCCTTCGAGTGACGCTTCACTTGGTCTACTCTCAGTATTTTCTTTTAGGAAATGGGAAGAGGTGTGTTTCTGGCTTTCTTTTCCTCACCTGGCGGTTTGGTGGTTCAGAGAGAGCACACACCCGCTCTGAAGATATACATTGCCTTCTAAATGAAGGGAGAAGGATGTCATGGTTTAAAAGGCGGCTTGGCAGCCGGTAGCGTAATTCTCGCTGTTTCCCGTTTTGCCATTCGAGAACTAAAATCCCTAAAAACAGCTAGAACCTAGTGTCTTCTCTGCTCAGACTTCAATCCCTAGTTTTGACCACTCCAGAACGAGAGCTGGAGGATGTTGGGCCTGCTAAGGAGCTACCCGGCTTCCTTCTCTGGCTTTGACCCCACTTGTTATGCCACTGTGCTGGTCCTCCTATCGGAGTTCTTCAGCCCACCCATGGTAGAGTTCTGATGACAGCCCCTCCACCATCCCTTCATGCCCTTTCTCTGCCAAGGCCAGCTGCAATCAGGAGTCCCATGACGTAGCTAATAGATTAAGGCGGCCAGCTATCATTAAGACTCCACAACTGAGTTAAGGCCATGTCCTTTTTAAAATTGTGGCCTGCTTTTATCGTTTGTGCCTGTTACAGAGGAAGTCAATATTTAGCTGACAGGTTGTGTATTAAACCTGAATAATGGAGTCAGAACGTAAAGTTCTATGAACAGGATCGGGAATAAAGAAATATATATTTGTGTGTGTTACAGGGTAACGTGTCTGTTTGTGTTTGGGGAGGTATAAAAATGCTCACAAAGCAATTAGATTTGTCCTTCCCTGTCTTATTTTTGTGCCTACCTTGTTCAGATGATTTTTCTCCTCAAAGGATGCTTTGGGGAGGCATTAAGGGTAACGTTTTATTCCTAAATCTAAAAACCTTTAGGTTTTTTTCCTTTGCTGCCACAGCCCGAAATACTGGTTATGCTTTACAGCCAATTCTCTCTCACATTCCATCTCTGACAGTGGCGCCATGGACATATAATGGGAAAATAAGTGTGTCCTCCTTATATGAAACTTCCCAAGGTTAGAGATGTCTCATGAATATCCTTAGTTCTCATGGCAACTCACTAGCTATTCAACAGCTTATCAGAGACCCACTGAGGCCATAAGTTCTTCTCCCTTGTTACTTTATAATCAGTCAGCACATCATTTATATTTATTACACACACTTGTTATATGTTGGGTGCTATGGGGAGGGGAAAAAAAAAGCTACAGTTCTGGCCCTTGAGACGCTTAGCATATAGTTTGGGCAAAGTTAGTTGGTTTTATTCACCATTTTATACCCAGCCCCCAACATATTATGTGGGAAACATTAGGGGGTGCCAAAACATATTCGTGAAATAGATAAATGAAGAATAGGGGAGAGAGACAGGAAAGATGAATAAAACAAAGGCAATGGAATATAGGATATATGCCAAGGGAGTGGTATAGTTATTGGAAGTCAAACTAGCTAAAGATTTCTGGGGGCTATAATGCTCTGGAAGGCTTTCTTAAGGAAGTAGAATTGCCCCCCTAAATCCAAGCCAAGGGTCCCTCCTATGTATCTTTAGGACTCAGTATTCATTCAACACAGAACTGAGTTAGACTTGGGAGATAGGAAGGAACCTGCCCTTATATTGCTCCCATGCTAGAAGGAAGATGCAGAAATTACAGATCCATTTGTTTCTATGTTTAATTAAAAATTGTACTGAGTGCTGTGAAGGAAAAAAACTTTAGACCTGATCTAGTCCGGGAGATTCCCTAAGGAAATGGCATTTGAGCGGAGCCCTCAGAATGAGTAGGAGTTAAGTAGTCCAGAGCCTTCTAGAAGGATGGGATTGTGAGTCCACAGGCCCTTAGGAAGAGGAAGTGGAGCCACAGGGGTGAGCTGGGGATAATAGTGGAAGATTGGATTGCAGAGGTGACCAGAAAACCAGTTAGTCTCACATTATGGATCTTGATGGGTAATGGTCTATTGACTTATCTGTATGGTATTCCTAAGGCCTAGCCAGTGTCCAGCACTGGGTAGGAACTCAGTGACATTGAATGAGTAAGGTATGCCTTGAAGGGGGGCTGGGTTGGACAGTCTTTGTGTTTTAAGTCAACCGTCTCTCCCACTAATACATGGAAACATTAGGGCCACAGTTGTTAGTAAATACTCAGCTCTGTGTATCATAGAGCCATGCAGAATAACTGACTTTAAATCAGAGCTTCGAACTGGATCAAACTGGTTCAAACCCCTGCTGAGAGTTTGCATTTCCACCCCAGATACACTCCTCAATCTGCATTTTAATAAGATCCCCAGGTGATTCTTACATATAACAAATTTTGAGAACCACTGCTCCCCTAGTGGTTCTCAGCATTGGTCCGTAATGAACTTGTTAGAAATGCAAATTCTCAGCAGGGGTTCAAACCCCGAAGGAACAAGTTTGAAGCCCTGCTTGAAATAAACCTCTTCATAAGGACTATTAACATTGGACACAAATTTGCTGTATTTATGGAGAAGCGAAACAGAATTTGCACTGGCCAAATAAAGGCTGGAGTGCAGATAAATGAGCCTTTATACTACAGGACCTCCACTGACTCGATTCTAAAATTGCCTAAACTTTTGCTAAGTTGGGCATTGAGTATCAGCAGTGCCCCTTAAGCAGTGTCTATCTGGACTATTGTGCAGGAATCTCTGCTACCAGCTGCCTGGGATCTCATGGTCTCCCTTTAAATGAGGATTTGGAGTCAGACTGAGCAGGGTTCCTTTCCTAGCTCTGCCATTCACATGAGGAATGATTTCACCTGGGTAAAATGGGGACATAATCACCTAGGAGCAGAGCGGGCTTGTGAGGACTGATGAGATAAGAGATGCCAAGCACCTGGCAAGCCCTGAAGACGTGTTGGCTCCCTTTCGAGTTTGTTTTTTCCCTGAAACCATCCACGTTATACCCCCAACCTTAATAATGATCCCATTTGGGGTTCAGCCTGTGGCTGTTGAGATTTAAGCTCTTCTTGATTTGGAAAGCTAGAGATTCTTAAGTTTATATCAAGAGAAAGAGGATTACGACAAGGACTAGAAAGTCTCCAGGCAGCTCTGGGGTACTGCCTCTTATGCGATTCCTCATGGGTCACATGGCCTGTCTGACTGTCTTTTATGTCCCAGGCGACATCTCTGCTTCTCTCTGCCAAGTTCATCCCTTCCTGCTAGCCACTTGCTGTCCAGCTTCCCTTCTGCTTTGGTAACTTCTGTCCTCCCCACAATACCTTTGCTTTTATGTGGCCTGTCCAGCCCCCCTCCTCCACATCATGACCTGTCAGCTCCTCTTTAGCTCCCTTATCTCAAATGTTTCCCAGATCAAATTCCAAAGAGAGATTAAGAAGAACAACCAGTTTGGCTTAGCTAGTATTTCATACCAAAAAAGCTGGTTTCCCTGTGGATTGTATGCATTTGGGCCAGGCACCCAGCCTGGCTCTGGCTATTGGTGGTGGATGGTGACTCAGTCATGTGGCCTCTAAAGGGTGTAGGTGCAGTAGGCTTTCCAAAGTCCTGCCTTTTGGGTGCTGTGGCCCTGACCCATAGATTAGACTGGCCCTGATAGGTTCGGACCAAGTCACAGCAGTTGATTCAAACCAAGCCAAACCTGTTGCCATCAAGTCAATTCTGACTCATAGAGACCCTATAGGACAGGGTAGAACTGCCCCATAGGGCTTCCAAGGAGCGGCTGGTGGATTTGAACTGCCGACCTTTTGGTTAGCAGCCCAGCGCATAACCACGGTGCCACCAGAGCTGCAGTAGTTGGTTAGTCCCAACAAACCAGGGCTTTGAACCAGTTCATTTCAGTTCGAATCCCTGCTGAGAATTTGCCTTTCTAACAAATTCCCAGGAAGTTATACATGCGAATCACCTGGGGATCTTGTTAAAACTTAGATTCTGATTCAGTATATCTGGGGGTGGAAATGCAAATTCTCAGCAGGAGTGCGAACTGGAACGAACTGGTTCTGCAATAAGCAGGCTTTCCTCTTGGGACCCATCAAAGCCATTCCACTGAATTTTGTTGTCTGTTCGAGGGAGGTGTAGCTTAGCTGATGGTTTCAGCTGCTTTTCTGTGGGTCTAGCTTTAATTGTAGGCTCTGTCCATGGGAGCAGTTCAGAAGAGGGAGAGCAGGACCCGAGCCCAGTCTTCAACAATGAGTTGGAGCAGTCAGTGCCCAGTTGCTGAATCTGGCCATGGCAGAACCGGAGCCAGCACCCAGGAGTTGACTGTTAGCCCTGGGCCCTTTCCGTTTTCAGGCCCCTGACACACAAAGCCTGTGTCATGCACTGCAGATACGCCTTGTGGAAGCACATCCTTTCAGAGGAATGCAGGGCTACATAGCAGGCTTGGGAAGTGGAACCCAGGCTGGAGGGACAGTGTCTGGTTTTGCCTGCTGGGCTTGGTTGGAGCTGCACAGTTGGGTCAGTCATGGTCCCTTTCCTAAGGGAGATCACATTCGAGGAGAGGAGATTCTCACTTCTCCTCTAGTAAGCTCTAAGGTTTTAGACAAGTTGAAGCCAGGTAATGAGGGGATTAGCATCATCTGAGAGGACCACTTGGTGTCTGAATCCTCCCAGGTGTGTGAGATTGTAGCCAGCTTTGTCAGCTTCTATTACAGAGGAATAGTGCTGGGTTAC